ATCTGATTAATAATTGATTATCCTAAAAAAAAATATCAAATCCACTCAAAACAAATTTTTAATTTGTGTTAATTTGCATTATAAATCATTTTGGCATACTATGTTATGCCGAACATAAACTGAATGGAAATTCTAATAATACTATTTTTGATTATTTTGAATGGTGTATTTTCGATGTCGGAAATAGCCTTAGTGTCTTCCCGAAAATCAAAATTAGAGATTGAAGCAAAAAACGGAGATGCGAAAGCTCAAGCGGCACTCGACTTGGCAAGTTCACCTAGCCGATTTCTTTCTACTGTACAAATCGGTATTACCCTTATTAGTATATTAACAGGTATTTATTCTGGAGAGCAATTTACGGCAGATGTTCAGCCTTTCTTTGAGCAGTTTGATACACTAAGACCGTATTCTAAAACAATTTCGTTTGGCTCTATTACGCTTATTCTAACTTTTTTCTCGTTAGTTTTAGGTGAGTTGGTGCCAAAACGTATCGGAATGGCTGCCCCAGAGGCTATCGCCAAAACAATGGCTGCTCCGATGAATGTTTTATCAAAAATCACTTCCCCTTTTATTTATTTGCTTACCAAATCAAGCGAATTGATTTTTAAGCTTTTCGGAATGAAAGAAAATGATACTTCTGTAACGGAAGAAGAAATCAAATCGCTGATTCAGGAAGGTGCAACGGGTGGAACAATTGATGAGATAGAACACGAAATTGTGCAAAATGTCTTTCATTTGGGTGACCGCCGTATTACCTCATTGATGACCAACCGAAACGATGTTACGTTTTTGGATATTGATGATGGCGTACAAGCAAATCTCGAAAAAATTATCAATAAACGTCATTCTGTTTATCCTGTTTGTAATGATGGAATAGACAATATGGTGGGCTTATTGTATATCAAAGATTTACTAGGCAAAGACATTGAAGATGCTTTGGGCAATTTGGATGACTTAATTCGTGACCCACTTTTGATTCCTGAAAATAACCAAACATACCAAGTTCTTGAGAAATTTCAAGAAGGAAGAATTCACTTTGGCGTAATTTTGGATGAATATGGTAGCGTTTTGGGTATCATCACTTTAAATGATATTTTGGATGCCTTGGTAGGCGATATTTCAGAAACCAATGAATTTGAATATGAAGTAACCGAGCGTGAAGATGGCAGTTTTTTGGTAGATGCTTCCTTGCCATTTGATGATTTTCTGAATGTATTTAGCGTGCAGATTAACAACCGTAAAGAATATACAGGTTTTGATACTTTAGGCGGTTTTTGTTTACATATCTTAAAAGAAATTCCTGATACAGGTGATACTTTTGATTGGGAAGGTTTCAAATTTGAAATTATTGATATGGACAAAAATCGGATTGATAAAATCTTAATCTTGAAAATTGACGGGAAAATAGATAATAACGATAATTAACAATTTTGAATGAGGAAAATAATTTTGAATGAGTGAATGTTAGAATGAATGAATCAAAGAGTGCTTGAATAAAAAATATTCCATCATTCTGTCATTCTATCATTCTATCATTCACACATTCCCTCATTCACACATTCAATCATTAAAACATGAACGCAGCACGTAAGATTGCTACATTTTTATTAAAAACAAAAGCAGTACGGCTAAATGTCGAAAAGCCTTTTCAGTGGAGTTCGGGGTGGTTTTCGCCTATCTATTGCGATAACCGAATTACGCTTTCCGATGTGGAAGCTCGTACTTTTATCAAAAAAGCATTAGCTAAAGCCATCAAAAAGCATTTTCCTGAGGTAGATGCCATTGCAGGTGTAGCTACCGCAGGTATTCCGCAAGGAGCATTGGTAGCAGATGCCATGAGTTTGCCTTATGCTTATGTGCGTCCGAAACCAAAAGAACATGGTATGGGCAATCAGATTGAGGGTAGGCTAGAGGCTGGTCAGAAAGTGGTGGTGATAGAAGACCTTATCTCGACAGGCGGAAGCTCACTGAAAGCCGTTGAAGCATTGCGTGCAGCAGGAATTGAGGTAATTGGTATGGTGGCTATTTTTACGTATGGATTTAAAGTGGCTGACCAAAATTTT